CAGATACCTGTCCTTTCACACTACCTTTCCTACGATATTCTTGGCTCTTATCCCTGTTAACAATGACTAAGAAATATCTTTGACAGCAAGAACCATCTTTTCCAAGAGCAATGCATCCCTAAGTTAAATAAATTCTTTCTTTGTTCTTTTAGTCTTTGATCTTCGTTCAGAAAACAAAAAAAGTCGACCTAATCTAACATAGAGTAAGATGCATTCGACTTTCATTTCTTCAAAAAAAAAAACAAAACAAAAACAAAAGATTTTGTGATGGTCAGGCGACTCAGGCCTCATCACCTCACTCTACTGATTGAAGACCAGGAAATTGCTGTGGAGGTGGATACGGAAACCAGTAATGCAAGGCAATTGTAGCTCAAATGCTCATTGACTATAAGCACCTGCAGTACTAGTACGTGGTCCAGCAGTTCTAATCATATCACATGGTAGAAGAAAACAATTTATGGCATCAGAATTTAAGTGACATCCAACTTCAATGGAGGGACAGATGCCTTGTTATTATTTGAATTTTTCATCTACTCTATACAAGAAGGCGCTGCTACAATGAGTAACTTGTGGTCCAGTTCTTAAAAACTTCCAGTTCGAAGACAGAGAAGGCAACCAACGCTTGGATAGCCAATTTTAAATCGGTTGGCCGGCCGTTGTAACTCAATCCACTTTTCACTTGCTGATAATAATAATAATAGTAGAGTACTTTTCCCTACAATGAAAAACCTAATGTGATGGTAGCTGCAATAAAAGCTTGCAAAGGCCTACATATTTTTAGTTGATAGTGTAGATGAAACATAGAATCCAATCCAGCCTTAAGTAAATCGATTTAGACCAGCTAAACAAATTTCAAGACTAAATACGATTTGGAAATGACTTTGGCTTGATGATGAAGTCCAATTGCTTGAAGTTGACAAATATAGAATCCAAACCAGGCCATAATTGCTGGAACCGCGAGCACAAATCATTTGGCAGTTGGTTTCGTTCATTGCACTGGTCTGAACTAAGCAATCTAGTTCCCATACTCAAGACAGCATCATCAAAATAAATTAATCAAGTCCTAGGCTAGTTGGCAATATCATGGATCATTCCTATGTCCTAACGCTAAAATCATATCGTGAATATGGGATGATTATTCCATAGGTGGTTTTATGATTTTGGCCCCGTTATACACACATATAACTAAAAATCTGCTAAATGTTAAAATACGTATAATATTACCTTTAAAAGTTCCGGGCCTATGTTAGCAAACAGACGTACTATTATTTAAATTAACTCTTTTTTTTTCATGATTTCCTAAACAGTAAGCTGAAAAACAAGTCTCTCTCTCTCTCTATATATATACATACATACATACATACATACATACATATTACTGCAAGAACCAATCATCAATTTCTTGAATTATTATTGGCGCCTGTAACCCTGAATAAGAATACAGAACTTTTTAGAGCAAAACATGCATTTTAAACCAATCCTTTTCTTGGGCAGTGCATATATGGGGGACAAGACAAGAAAGAACTTGTGCAGTTATGCGTGGAAGTTGACACTGAATAAGTTCCTGGATGAGTAGGACGAAATAGGCACGCACTTGGATGGAGCATATGTATATATTTATAGCCAAAATACATAGGCAAACAAAATGGCAGGTTATTTCCAAGTCGTGCTGCTCTACCAGATGGGTGGCAAGGGTTGGGTGGGAGTTACATTCATGTACAATAAAGAAGAGACAAATGTACCTCTATGGGGATGAATTCTCTTCATCATCATAATCAACATATATAATTATTACAGCACAAAATACATAAAAGAATGGAAGAGAAATATATCTAAGCAACCGAAAATGTATATAGCCAAAAAAAAAAAAAAAAAACTCCCGTTTTCTCTTCCCATCCACAGTTTCTTTCACCCAACCACATTTACCCCACTTCTTCCACCATAAGAGTTGATATCGGGTTGGGGCCGGCAGAGCACCATAGAAAGCCTGCACTGTGTAAAAATTGTTTATGTGGTCCATTCATGTTTCACTAGTGTGAACAAAATCTAACATACATATGTTACGATCGATCATCGCTCTTCACTGCTCACCATGTCCACGGGGCAGATATCAACTCATCAATTTATTCTTTTAATTCCTACTACAAATCAAATCGTCCGTTTTCTTTCCTCTTATTATAAGTGGCCGATAGCATCAATCAATTCTTCTAACGCATTTTCAATATTTGTATTGATTTCTGTCCTCCGCTTCTGAGAAACCAAAGCTGATCCAGCATCGGAATAATGGCTATAAGCCCTATATCGGCTTTCAGAAAACGTTGTAGGCCAGCGAGCTCTAGGAAGTGCGTTGTCAGATATTGCTTTCCTTCAGCTGGATTGGGACTAGAGGGCCAACTGGCACTCTTTTTGCTTAAAATTGATCGACACTTGATAAATTTTTGCACTCTTATAGGTGTCAACCAACAATTTGAATGAATCTTCCACGTCTAAATGTGTCTAGTCGAACGCTATATTGTCATCATTGACAAGAAACGAAAGAGCTTGGTTCGAAAAATTCCCCATGCAAATTCAAGTAGCATATACTCTAGTACAAGAGTCAAATTAATAGAAAGGATAGAGGTTTCCAGTTCAAATTTTGTTTCTGAAGTTATTGAGAATGTTTTACGATTAATCTATCCACACTCGGCATTTTTTCGTTTTAGATATGAATCCCGACCTGTTTGTTAAGACACACGTAAAAAATTATAGGATTGAGGAGAAGGTAAAACCTTTCCTCCTATTTGCTCACGCTCAGCATTTATAGAGTTGTTCATTTAATTTTCTTAAGCCTCTGAGGAATCTAATTTCTTCTCATCAGAGGTTGATGGTCACACGATAGGAACTGCATAGCTGTCCGTCCAAGGACTTTAACATCTTTTCAAAGAACAAGAGAAGAAAGTAAAAATTTGCTGCGAGTTGAAATGTATACTCTTAATTACATATAATGACAGATAATGTCTTGAGGCCCCTCATCATTATGACGATAACAATTTGCTCTCACGTTATCAATCCCGAATTGTCAATTGGAATGTCCGGGTGCCCTTTGACTTTCCTAATGGCGGGAAGATGCAACTAGAGGCTCTTGGTTTCCCCCAATTTTATTTTCATCCAAAGATTTTTTTTATTATCATTATTATTTTTTGGGAAGATAGTTCAAAACGTCATTTATATTTTGCCCAATGAATTTTTTCGCCATTCATTTAAAATATTAACTTTAAGTCCCTTATAAATTCAAGTTAATAAAATTTGGTTCCAACCCAAGTTTTCGGCCATTTTTTAGTTTGAAATCACCATATGACTCACGTGTAGTTTTTTTTATGTACAAAAATGTCAGATTTCGCTTTTTTAGTAGCAAAAATGAATACAAGTTGGATCAGATCTCAATATTTTAGGAAAGGGAATAAGATTTGGGTCAAATCTTACCTTTCAGAAACAAAAATGAATATGGATCGAGTCATAATTTTAAATACAAATGGGGTTTAACTTTTTTAATCTAAAAAAAAATGACCATGTGTGGATTACATGGTATATTTTACGATAAAAAGTGGTCGAACACTTATGTTGTGATCAATTTTTACTGTCTTGACAATGTAAGGAACATAAAATTGCCATTTTAAAAGTGTAGGAAGAAAAAGTTTGTTTGGCGAAATATGAGGGATATTTTAAATAATTTCCTCCCTTTGTTTTACCTTTTGTCATGGGGATGACAAAAAAAAGATTAAAAATCATGGTTACGGCTGTTTTTTCTTTTTCTCTCGACTAACATGGAAAATGAAGACAAGAATGAACTCACTTTAGGGGAATTGACCACCAAGTAAAATATAGAATGCAAATCCATAATAATTGCAAGTAAAGTGTTCAAATATTTACACTTACATTGAAATTCAAGAGGTATATAATAGTGCACCCTTCTAGTTTAAAAGCCGGTTTCCCTCCCTCTAACCCCTCTTAGCCCATCAATTGGATCCTCTACCTAGTATGGTTTAGAGTAGGACTGCTGTATAGATATAGTTGATTGATTAAAAAAAAAAAGCATTCAATTATGATCCAGCAAATACTTTGGATTTGAATTGTTTCAAGTTTTTATTCATTTAACGCTATGACAATATTTTTAAATCTTATAATTTGCAATATCTCCCTCACTGAACGAGCAACTCAAGTACGTGGAACCAGTGTCCTAAACTTCTGCGAATAGTTTCTAAATTTTTCTGTATTAAAACAAAGCGTTTGTCCAATCAATGGGGAAAAAAAAAGGAGAAAATGCATCACTTTTTTCTTGACACCTCGAACTCGAACTCGAAATTAATATTATTTTTCAATCTGGTAAATTAATCGAAGCAGGGGGCGGGGGTTAATTTCAATGCATACATAAGATAAGAGTGGTGCTATACGATATCATATCATTACATCGTGCCATGTGTCTTTGACCACATAAACAGGAAGCCGAAGACCAAACCTGTAAACCAGCGGTGCAAATTAAGCCATCGGATATGTTGCTATAATCTAATCAGGACACATGATTAGCGAATATAAATATTTTTTTTTAATTAACCACTAACCAGTGTGAGAAAAGATACAGTTTTTCTCATTAAACAAGCGTATTAAATTTATTATTTATGGTAGAAGTTTGACGGAAAAGAAGATCTTGGAATGGGACCAAACGAAAGTAATTATAGAAACAATAATGATATTTACCACCCCACCCTCTACCTCTGGCTCTGGCTCTAGGAGGAAATTTCTAAATAAAGGATAACTGACCCACCCATAATAAAAACCTTCGCCCATGTGCCTGCCTTTGTTTGAGAACGGGATGGGGTCTACTATAATTCTTTTCTTTAAGATGAGGAACCAAAAAAATACGTACGTGTATATTTTCCTTGTGATTCAACGATATGAAACATTAATAAATGAGTAGCATTAGTAGCGTACAAGAGTTGTGAATATATTTAGTCTTTGCTAGGGCACTTGCAGTCTCCTGATCTTTTATATTGAGAGTCCCTCAGACCACTTGCTTTTGTCTCTCTATCACTCCACTCCATCTAATCTCTCTTTCTCCCCCAAATCCTCTTTCTTCTCTTTGATTTTATTTCTTTCTTGCTTTTTTCTGGAGACAAAGTGGGGAATTATTCGAAATTCAAGCAGAAGTTGCTGCTATTTTTTCTTGTTTTTTTCCCCTTCTCTCTCTTTATCTCTTTCTTTGTGGACAGACAAGCGGAATTCTACATTAATCAACTGGAAGTTGCTGCAATTGTGTTTCTTAACTGCAACTGAAGGAGCCATCCAAAGGGATCGCATTGATCCTAACCCTTTAATTTCTTGCCTTCACATGTAGGGGAAGTATTTGTAATACTAGTTTCTTTTTAACTCCTAAACTGCATGTGATGTGAAGTGGGATCATGCTATCCCTTTGGATACCTCCTTTGGTAGCTAAGCTTCATCCAAAAAATGGAGATCCATCCATCCCTTTAGGACCCTCAGGAGCATGCACTTGTTGTCACTTGTCTGAGTTGCAGATTCGCATTCGCATACAAGGGTTTGAGGCCGTAAGCCCTTGTGGAACAAACAAGTAAGCAAGCCGCTTCTCTTCCTTTTTTCTTCGTTCTTTCTTTCATTCACTGTCCTTTCTTTGCAAGCTCCTGCATCAACAGGTAGCTCTAGCTAGCTTGGACCAATATCTTTGTTCATCGTTTCCTATTCAAGGAATACCACATACATAAATGAGGTATATCCAATCTGCATGAGAATTTCATAGTAATTAATTTAAGCTTGCACCTGCCCAATATGGACTTTGATTGTGCTTGCCTTTTTTTTTTTTTTTTTTTCTGATGCATCTTCTTTTTGAAATAAAGATCCACATCGAGCTTGTGTGTGTTTCGAACCCTTTTCTCAATTCTCTGTTGGCTCTAACTTTATCATAAACTTCTGAGCTTTACAACCTTTATGTTTCTTGTGGGGGTTGGGGAAGGGAAAGAAATTATGCTTCAGCTTTCTAAACCCGTATGAAATAATTAATTCATTTTTCTAAGAGCATAGATTTCCCTAGCCACTTATATGATGCCGTTTATCTTCTTAATTCATCTTTAGAGTTTTTCAGTACTCCGCTACTCCTGTTTGACTTTTTATAAGATAGCTGAAGAAAAATGAAACGCCTGATTATTTTCAAAGATAGTTATTAAATTAATTTTGAGAAGACAAAACCCAAAAAAAAAAAATTAAAAGGAAGAAGAAGAAGGAGAAACATCTTGACTGGGAGCTGAATATTATCCACTAGCTCTGATCAATTGAGAGTTGACATTTTAGAAGCTTTCCAATGTTTTACGATCGTCGTCGTCGTCGTCGTCGTCGGCTATAAGTATCAAGCGCCAGGCTAAATGTATCTAAACACGTAGTATTTGAATATACCTAATCATTCGGGCAAAGTGCACATGACACCGATCATACTGACTGACATCCCCCAAAATTTGGGTACTGTACAGTATGCACCAGACACATATGTTTTCTAGCTATTCTTAAGCACCAATATATGACCAACAAGTAAGAATGAAACAGAAACATTGGTTGAACCTTTGACCCTTGATTAGTACGTATACCTGATCAAGTTTACTGTATAAATTCAGTGCCTAAAACATAGAATTTCATGTCTATTTTACCTAGGTAAGGTGGAGCAAAATTTAAAATTCAAAGCTCGAGAACTTTCTTTTTTTTTTTTTTTTTTTTTTGTTAAATAATGGTTACATTCTTGCAAGTTGCCACAGCTAATTAATCTAACTTTTAGAAAAGTTTATTTTGGCAAGAATGTTTTGACATTGGAACAACCTTCGAATGAATCAGAATGACGGTTTGTGTGATAAGAGACGTCCAACATCTTCAGCTGTATGACATCAAGGTACAAAGCTAGAAGCAGTCCAACAAGAAATGTCGTCATTTTTTAAGAACAAACTCGCAAGCATGGCCATGCCTGTGGCCCTGCGTTTCAAGAGTTGATATCACATGGTACGTACGAAGACTTTATTTAGGATCCAAGGCAACGAAAGGTGATACTACTACTATACTAGTATGTATATATTTTTTTTTAAGGGGGAGCTTCATTTCCTTCCCCCACCCCCACCCCCCGGCGCGGACATTGGAGCTTGCCCTTGAGTTTTCCAAAGGCAAAGGAATCGGCTGCCCACATGCGGTGAGGACCTTAGAAAAATTCCCCTCAAAATTCAGATATATAAAGTCTCTCTCTTTATGATGATGATCCGATCCCCTCGTCACATGACTCCCAACTTTCGACAACCTTGGTCTCCAGTGTGGAGTATGGAGCATGGACACACTTATCACATGATCAGCCCAACGCCTTTGAGCTATCCAAGACCGTAATAGTTGTATTGTACCGCTGCTACCATTAATATTGCATAGGATCTTGAATTTCATTTCACATTATGGTACGTTGTTTGGTAAAGGGAAAGAAAACACATTTACTCACATTTAACGTTAATAGTAGTAATTCCTGGACACGCAAATTTTTTGAACCAACTTCTGCAGGGGCTCAATTTCCGGCTTGGTTTTCTTCTGTCTTCCAAGTTTACCTCTTCAATAGATTCAAGAGCGGACTGTCATTTTAGCCCAACATCCCCTTGAATGGCAATGCACGGAAGTAAAACTACTGGTGTGGACTGTGGTCAGTGGAGTACTAGACGAGACAGGTCATGTACTTTGGTATTCATTTCTAGCTTCGTATAATCCCCCTCGACATTTCAGTGCCAGTGAGGGTGAATAAAAGGACATACATACAGCTCCATAAATGCTCAAAGCATATATAGGGCAAATGTGCTGGATTGTAGAGTTTTATCTTACGGTAAAAACGTATTAAGTTGCTAATACAGAACGTATACCTCTACAGGTTTTAACAACACCTGGTTGGCTCCATTCTTTAGTTGTCTATATAAAAGTTTTAGTTTCTTTCACTGAAGTTTTCTTAATTCAGAGATAGATGATAAAGTTTGAAATTACAATAATGGGTTCGCTCTTTCTGTTTTGTATATGCTTATCCTATACCCTTTAAGACACAGAATACCAAAAGGAAAATCTACCCAGAGAGGCAGCACAATTAGCAGCCAGTCACCTCGGGGGGCGTTGAATATTACTGCTCTTAAGTGAGCGTCATAGGCAAGTGTTGAACAGTGATTTGGTCAAAGTAGGACTGAACCCTACTAATTGCAATGACCATTAAGTAGGTATTAGTATAAAGTATCCCGGATTTCAGATGCCTGACGTGTAGTCTGGGGTTAAAGGTGAGGAAATTGGCCCTCATGAAATACAAATTGTCGTGAAATGGGGAATGTGTAGGCCTAATGTCCCCCGGCTTGACTACAAGTTCTTAACCAGGACACGACTAGAAGACACGCAAATTTCCAAAGGGAAAACAGTTTGAAATAATTCCTCATCATGCTCTCGGGATTCAACATCGGTTGGTGGCCCTAGCAAACCACGGCCAAAGGGGTCCTTGAACTGTCTCCAGATCATACTCTTTCAATTCAATCCCCAGTTCTGTCATCTTCCAAAAAGGAAGCAAAAAAAAAAAGAAGAAAGAGTGCAATTAAATATGTGGACGCAGACACACGCAGTGGGTAAAAGTGCACAGTGGGTCAGTATAATTCAAGTCTCGTTGCACGTTTTCTTCTCTACACTCCAGGGCATAATCAATCATAAAATCACCCCATCCCATCCCATCCCATGGATGGATGGAAGGAAATTATTATTGTTTAATCGTGGAATTCTAAATGGGAAACGACGAAGTTGAAGCTGCTCAAATGGGCCTAGCCATGCATGAATGAATTCGTTGCAGAGACCAGACTCCACTCCAGAGAGAGAATGTGTGTCTGCTGGTGGTGTGTGTGCGTGTGTTTTTGCCTGGCCATTTCTCTTTTTCTACCCTCCAACCCAACCAGTCTGGTTTGGAGTCTGGACACGGGTGGCTTGGCTTGCCCATACATGACTTTATTATATTCCTTTACTATTTACCTGCGGACCGTTTTTTCGTCTTCTTCTTCCCTTTCTTTTTCCCCTCTTTCGTTCGATTCAAAACTGTACCATCTTTAGTTTTTCTTCTTTTTGGTTATGTTCGTGGTGTAAAACTCAGAAGGCAAGTGGAATACCTCGTATCTCCGATGAGAATTATTTACCATCTTGACAGAGTAGACGGCAAAAAACATCTTATTCGCAAGGTAAAATCCCACTGTATTGCTCCAGCACCACCCTGACCATTTTTCAGTCATAACTCGTAATAACCCTTGAGCAGACAAGCACAGCATGCCAGAATTTGAACTTGACCAATAACGGATCAGCATCGTTACGGGAAATTTATCCACTCCTCCTCTCTTTTGCCCATTGCTATGAATAACCCTCACAACTCCCAAGAACACACACTGCACCGTGGTGTTTATTACTCTTTTTAGTAATTTGTTTTCATTCTGCACTAAGCTCTACTATAAATTAAGCATCAAAAGTGAGTGTCTCGGGGGATCAAGCACCGCCTCATCCTAGCTAGGTACGTATAACTAGGGATGGCAACGGGGCTGGGTTGGGGCGGGGGAGCGTTGCCGGGGTTGGGGCGAGGGACCCCTCCCCCGCCCCCGCCCCGTTGCCTATTAGTTCCCCCCGTCCCCCGCCTCCCCCTCCCCCCGGCCCGCCCTGCCTTGCACCGCTTCCCCTACGAGGGTACCCGCAGGGTTAATATAATTTTATTATAATTAAATTTTAATAAATAATCAAGTACTAAAATATCAACACATCACCAAATTATTATTCATTGTAATTTTACAATTGAAACTCATAAAAACAATCAAACAGAAGTTATTTGAATACAATCCAATATGATGAAATAAATATAACTAAAATGGTCAAGTTTTCACTTTTAGTACAAATGCAATCACTAATTCATTATTGTGTTTGTGCTTTTTTTTGAGAAAAAAGTGTTATTCTATTAAGCGTAATTAGAAATTTAGTATAAATGTATTAGTAAATTTAGTATAATTAATTAATAAATTCTATTAGTAGACATGTATAATTATCAATTATATTACATAAACTAATATACATTATATAATACATCTAACTAATAATATCATTATCATAAGTTTATAACTAATTAACTTACATATTATATATAATTATATATATATATTTTTTTTTTTGCGGGTGGCGGGGCGGGGGTATACTCCCCCGCCCCCCCGCCCCGTTTCTAAGCGGGGGGAAAAAATTCCCCCCCGCCCCAACCCCTGTCCCGAGAGCCCCCCACGGGCACCCGCCCCTATTGCGATCCGCAACGGATCTTCTGTCCCACATTCTGTGCCACTCTCTGTCCCACTTTTTATTACATTACTATTTCTCATTCATAAACATCATGTTTTAATTCTTTTTTGCTTCCTTAAGATCCAATAACTATTAATTCAGTAAAAAATAAATATAACAGCTTCAAAAAAGCAATATATAATAGAAAATTAAAAAATACAGCAGAAAATTCATAAAAAATCTCATTTTTTATGCATTTTGATTTTTTGAGTATGTTAAATTTTGTGTATTACTCAATAATAGTTATTGGATCTTAAGGAAGCAAAAAAAGAATTAAAACATGATGTTTATGAATGAGAAATAGCAATATAATAAAAAGTGGGACAGAGAGTGACACAAGATGTGGGACAGAAGATCCGTTGCGATTGCCATCCCTACGTATAACGGGACTCTTAGCCGTTCTTATTTGAAGTCATAGGCCGCTAAGTTCCTCGCACGTGTATAATGAGACACAATGCAATATCTGATCTACTTAGCATTAATTTTTAGGTTATCAAATAAGTCCTTAAAGGGATACGGATGAATTATGAATATACTTAATTTGAATAGTGGAATTTGAGTTACCAAAGATATATGAATATTTTCCTTTTTATTTTTTATTTTAGTTTATTTAAAAAAAATTTTAAATTTTTTCATGATATGGTGCTGTGTTTTTGGGTTCAAGAAGATCCTACGTGTTGGAAAGAACGAGGTGCACAGAAACGCTTGCGGGACTAATATTCCTGGCCCGATCAAATGGTGGCTAGTTGAACGCATAAATTCATCTTGAGATTGGGGCTTGCCGCTCGGCCCCAATTGCTAAAATTGGGCTAATGAGCCCCACGTGAAGCCCAATTTCTGAGACTTCCAGCAATTGTTTCAATATCTATTTTGCATCTTTTTTTATAATTAGAGGGCAAATAGCGTAAATGATTGCTAAATTATTTAGAATGTTCGATTTTAGTCATCAATTTTTTCTTTAACCAAATGATTGCTAAATTATTTAGAATGTTTTTATCATTTAGATGAAAAAGCAAATAATATTGGATGCTTTTTTCGGGTCGCAGGCTTGGAAGTGTAAGCAAGAGTGAGGGAGAAGCTCTCAAACCAATTAGCCGAGTTTGGGTTTGGGCTCCTCGAGAGTTAGATATACATAGGCACACATGTACGCTGGCACCCGTCCTACAATTTTGTCTTTGGGGACTGAGGAGAAAGGAGGCTTGATGCGAAGAGGAGTGCCATTTCTCTACTAGGAAAACTAGCCTAAAACTGCATGTAATTGATGATGTAGATATTCATGCTTAGGTCCACGTTATTAACAAATTGGATAGGTTATTATTTAAAATAATTATTGTAGCATTTTTTTATAACTTGATATATATGAGATAAAAAAATAGTTAAAAATAAAAAATATATTTATGATGCAAGTAAAATAATAGTTGGAGGCATATGCCACGTCATCTCCTTCTCGCCCAGGGCTTCAAAAGATTTTTTTTTTTTTTTTTTTTTGTAAATTTGATTCAAGGCTTTAAATTTTGTAGATTTGGATTAGTGTAATGATTTAAGTGCAATCTTTCGCTCCAGTTGCTTTACCCAAAACGGATTAAATTCTAGAAGTACCCAAAGTATATAGGTTTGCTATTGTTGAAGAGGTAAAATTAAGACCAAAAATAAATGGAAAAATCTTGAATGGCAACAATTTAAGGGACTGCTGGGTGCTTTAACAATTTTGAAATTCACACGTCATCCAATCCAAACAAATTGAGCGAGCCCAATGGCAATAGAGGACAATCAGCATTTAATGGGCCCAGTTTGTTTTTTCGTTTCTGTTTCTGTTCTCCTCCGTCCCTCGGGCGACGCTGACATGGCTAGCATTTCAATAATAATAATAATTTAATATAATGGCTCCAATTCCCAAAGACTAACAGTGACGAAAAGGAAGTGACTACTGAGTCCTGAGTTTCGTCAGTTCAATAAACAGCACTGGAAACTGTCTGCAACAGTAACTCTTTCCCATCCAAAATCCCAAACCCTAACGGACTCCTAACTGTAAAAGTGTAAACTACCAACCCCTAAATTCCATTCATCAAATCGCCCCTGAGCTCGATTCAAGATGGCTGCATTCTCAATTCTCAACTTTACCATCACCGTTCTACTCGTATTCCTTTCACGCACTTCCTCGACCCCACTCCCATACGCTCCGAAATTTGATCCCAACCTTCTGCTCATCGGCGACGCCCGGCTCACCAACTCTGCCTCATCTGTTCAGCTCACCGACCCTACGTCTTCTTCAAGCTCCGGCCTTCTTATTCGAAGCAAAACTTTTAAATTTCGTTCCTCAAACTCGAAGAAGCCCGCCATCAAGCCTGTGTCGTTTTCCACTGACTTCATATTCTCAATTTCACCCCACGACGGAGACGGCCTTGCCCTAATTATTGTCCCGGCTGATTTTTCCTCTAATTTTTCGCGGGATGGTTTTGGGCTTTCTCGGCAAAGCAGGTTTTTCGCGGTTGAGTTTGATACTTCTAGAAATGAAAATGTAGGGGACGAGAATGCGAATCACGTTGGGATTGATGTGGCAAGTCTTCATTCAGTCCAAGTAAGCAATGTTTCTTCGATTGGATTGGTTTTAAAT